CCTTTTAGAAAATTTACACAGTGTTATTATTTTCAATTCTGAACTCCCATAATACAACGAAGTAAATGTTCAAATAAAATGACCAACCCCTATTCTTATTCTTTATTGCTCATTACACTGTGCTCTTCATTTCGACCGATCCTTTACGAGTGAAGCTTAAAACTTTTTAGACTAAAGATTTTATGTGCATTTTTTAGGTGCATTCGCACCTTCAGGGAATAAAATTTTCATATTTCTCAAATTTTATATGAATAAACGTACCATCAACGATTTCTCTCATTGCACAAAAATGAATTCTTCCCAGCTTTCTGCAATTTTCATTACGATAAAATCCCAGGTGCTCGAGTGACAGGTGAAGAATTGTCGAATAATGATGAAATAAAAATTGGAAAAGGTAACAAAAATTCTTGAACTTTCTATACAAAAGGGAGTAACGGTCCCTATGGTAAGGGTGGAAAAAGCTTCGACCCTCTATAGACGGACGGGTAGAAACGCTTGACGGATCAGCGTCGCGACGCATTCCGAATCCTAACTAGATTTCGATCTGCTGACTTGAATCCCGACTTCGAACCTTCGAAATATATGGATATATACAGACATACATATATGCATGGATCATTTTATAGATTCATTCTATACCTTTATTCCCGAGTATCAGTATGACATTTAAGTCGTAATCTTTGACCTTCAGCATCTCACGTGACCGGTTCCAATTTTGAATTCCGGCTAAATGTAATGTATAAGAAAAAATATTGAATCGGTGGAAACGTAAGAAGACAATCGATTATATGAATTTTATTATCAATAGCATATCACTATGTCATGTACAGTATAAACAACAATTATTAAGTTTCATAACTTTTTCCTTTAACGTGTAGTACCTTAATTCAATACAAAATCCTAAAGTTTTTTTTTTACCACTTTTAGAATTCCCAACAGTTCCCAGAGTGTCGCGGTCAACGCGAAAGACATTTTAATACGGGTAGAATTAAATCCCTGTCTGTATAGATAAGAGGGGTGCTTTTACAAGGGTGCTACAATATGACGGTAACGTATTGCAAAGGGAATACAATCTGATTTACATTGACTAAATTCCTGCAGGAATCGCGAGAAGCCGATTCGCTCATCCACGTTCATTTTTTCGACTTCCGTTGTGGATGCGCCATAAGATAACGTGTCATAATGTTACCGCGTCAGGTTAAATATAATTCTCCATTTTTTATTCGATAATTGACTGACACGAGATACCCAAATGAAATTGCACCCACGCCTGGCCTCTCCGCAGCAGGTGCACTATGTATGCATTGAATTACATGAATCAGCGACATGATTCCATACAATCATTAACTGCCTATAATCACTGAAAATATGTATCTACATACTTCGCGTGTATTGAGTACTTTTTTTTTTTTCCTGTAATCGTATAACTTTTTGTCATTCTATAAATCAACTACAATTTGTTGCAGTCCATCGTCAAACTGACGTCTCTAAAATTACACCCTTATTTATTTATATTATCGTCTACCGACTGTACTCACCTGCATTGCCATTATATACTTGCCATATGTTATCAGACCTATGAATTCTGCATGACAATACCTCAAGTTTCGTGACGTACGTAAACTTTTACTTACAACCAAGACTGCATTGATCCCCAATACACTGTGCAGCGATCTATTTCAATTTAATCGAGACACATACCGGTGCTTCTATCGTACGATACACGCACCTAGTATATAATGTATTATATAGATACATAGCGCATAACGGTAGACAGAGTATTCGGATAGTTATTCATCTGAAGAGTAGCTTACAATATTGATCTGGCATGCATACGACTACCAGAGTATTATCTCCTCTAGATATTGCAATTAGATAGAGGTTCGTCGTGAGGTTTAAACCACTTCGAAAAAACATAATTGATCCTTAACACTGCTAAAAGATTTAGCAACACGCTTATTCCGCTTTGATATCGGTATGCAGGCTTTTTGGGATTAAAACTTTCGAGCGGTAGATGGTGGTCCTGGAATCTTCTATTTGACAGATAATAAGAATGCAAGGATAAATCCCTTCGCGTTGGTCAATAATACAAACTCATATTTCACTTTGAATTAATTCTGATGTATTGTGACGTCATGATAACGTATCATAATATACGGGTGTATTTTTAGTGGCGTATAAAACGTCCTGTAATTCTTCTACATCCGTCAGGTAGTGTTACAGATAATTCTGAATGAACGTAGTAGGGGATATGTGTATATTTACATGTGATCGATAAAAGCTTTTATTATATACGACGTAACAGGTTACATGGAATGACTTATCGGCGATACTTATCTTAGTTTTGGACTTGCGCAACTTTTTCTTTTTTATGGTTTTTGAGATGAATCCATATTTTTTTGTTATTTGCGCATTATTGCCTTCAGTATTGATATTGAAAATCTAAAAGGAAATTTGGCTCTTCTCGAGAGGATGTCCAAGGGATTATTAATCCGTTGCAAAGTTCAGCTTACGCGTTACGAGGATCAGGAGCTTTCAAACTTTCAAAGAACTGAAGAAAAGTCCAATTACCAATCGCAGAACTCTGAACGAATACAAATTGTAAGTTTTTAAGATTTTCTGGCCAAGACAAAACTTTCTTTTTATTTATTTCTTTTTTCGTTATTTCGATCATTCTCCGTCACGTGTGCCAGCTTTCTTCTTGACTTTCTTATTTTACGTTATTAAACTGGACGCGAGCGACCTAAAGCACGATACTTAATTTATATATCGATATAGATATATGCGAGAGCTTTGATAAGACGAATATTGAAGAATATACCAAGTAATTAAACGCAATCGATATATTCATACCTAATTGCATTTTTACATACAGTTGATCATGCTTCATAAAAGTTTAATTGAATTTAATCAAATTGCCACGTATGTATGGAAATTGCAAATCGTTCCATCAAACCATTCAATTCCCAATGTCATCGTGTCTGTGCATTTCGTTTGAAAATCCATCTATTTCCCAAACGTCACACACTCCCTTGATGATTAATGGTATAGGGCGTTAACGCAGTCGGGTTCTATGCATTTCGTAATTCTGATATGAGAAGGGTGCACGCTGCTTCATTCAGCTTGGATGCTATCGATACTCTGCACTGGTTACTATACTGTACCACTTTCTCTATACTATGCCTTATCATCAAATCCATTTTCCCTTCTCTGCTCTGTCAAACCTGAGCGAAGGTTCTCTCCCCATTGATATTCAGGAGTTTGCGCGAATTTTCGTCGATGTAGAAATCGTGAATGATCGTGGCATCCTCCTTGGCATTTGGAAGTGAATAACTATTAACGACGTCTCACTGAAGAAAGTAGAAAATTATCCGTCGAATTTAACATGAAATATCGCCGAATGACTTTCCGTGCCTTATACGAATATCAAAGTGAATTATTTAATATTAAACTTATGGTAGTAAATTTTTTATATTGGGTAAACTACTGCTAATATGTTATTTACCTTTAAGTTATTCATGATGAACGGTTCTATGTCAATTCGTAATGATTGCTAATGTCCGTCAAAATACAATTATTCCTGTAAATACTGTTATTAAAGAGGGACCTTTTCTTTTTAAGCATTTTTTATTCTTCTGGAACATACAGACCATTTCACGTATGTATATCAAACGTACCGTGACACATTGGACAGATTGTATTATGTATCGGAGGTACTCTATGGACACCGGATATTACATACTGAACTTTGTCGTAGGAAGTGTATATATATATATATTTGTTTTTCTTTTTATTCTTTTAGCTCATCTTGCCAATATACCGCTACCACCGATACACCTTAGACTATCGTGTTTCATTCACTCGTTTCTCTTGTTCATACTCGGACAAGAGACAATTTTTCAATGTGACAAGAAGTCAAGTCAAATTTCTGGGTTTTGAAATTTTTTTATCCTGTTATCTAGTGAGTTTATTATAATATCCATCGTATACTCTTAGACGTTTCATTTTCACGTTATACCATCTGACAATGCCGTTTCAGACTTAAATCAAAGGGATTGTTTATATGCCTTTATTTGGAACGCTGCTAGCGTAATTGAAATTTTAAGTCGAACTGAAAGGAATTATAAGAAAAATACGTAACATATAAAGTAATATACAAAAAAATAAGACTTACTGGTAAATTATTGGAGTCGGAGGGGTATGGGGTATCTTATGAAAATTAAGAAGGTCCCACTTCTGTTTGATTCAGATTCAGGTATTCGATGCTTCGAATGACTACCATAGTTGGGGTAGATAAAGAAAATGTTGAGTGACAGATAAAATTATGGTTTTACCACGAAATCGAGAAATTCTTCTTGTTGATGATACAGACGTTGCGGGAGGTGGGAAAATGAAAGGTTACGAGAAAAAAAAAGAGATCGGAGAACGATCCGTACATCAGGGGTGGAAAACTTTATCCGACAATGCGTCACCGTGAAAAGCGGCTCAATTCCTCCTCCACTGAAACCTCCGGCACTTGTGCCCTTCCAGATGGTTGTAAGGGCACAAACCTGAGAATGGAACACAACCATGAGAGTGAATGGGTCTCGTAATAAGTCACTGACAACCCCTAGTAGACAATGCCGCCATCTTTCACTCTATATCCTCTGGAAGTGAGGTGATAGATCAGCCATTTGCTTCCGACCTGAGCTCCAAGTACCTGTACCCCATCAAGCATACTCTCGTAACTCTGCAACGTGTCGTCTTTCAACATTATTCAACCCCTCGTGGCATTGGGGTTGAGGGGTTGTCTAGCGTCTTGTACGTCATCCGGGCATTTAACGGCAATTTCGTAATTCACTTAAATTCGAAAGAGAAACTTTGAAGGCGTCGGTTGTCGTGAAATTTTTAAAAAATTTGAATAAAAAAATATATTCGATAACAATAGCGTAGATATAGGAATTTTTATCATTATTTTATTTATTCTATATCTCTTTTATTTTCGTTTTAACTTATTTTAGTGTCATCCCTCTTCGACGACACGTGTTCACGGAACTTTTTATATATACGGATCTGTTTGAAAGGTACTGGCAAGAAGTTTAAAGGGATGATCTGACGTACATAGATACTCGTGTCATGGAGGAATTGGCAGGTTGACAAGCTAACTTGGTTTTTTTTTTTGTTATTTTTTTGCAACTTATACGCTTTTTGCCCAACCGTGTGATATTTGCCGGTTCTATCTGGAAATTTACGTATTCAAACACGTGAAATCGTTATTACACGTTTAACGTATAAAGTGTATTTTCTCATTTGATTAATCGATAATTCAATTTCCTTTCATTGAATTTGCAGCAATATTTGGCTTTAACATTTAATGCAATAATTACGGCAGCGGGCGAGGTGGCTATGTATTATGTACATTGAATAAATCATATTGAATTGATATACGTATATATACGGAATCCCCATAACGTGTTGATAATAAAACGAAAAAGTCTATTTTTCTGTATTGAAAAAAAAATGGTAACTTCTTTTCATATTTGCGTATATATCCCGTGTACGCAATGCACACGTGTTACGCGCACCTCTCATCGCTACATTCACGTCCGTTTGCCACAGTTGGTGGGAAGTAATGAATAAACCGCGTGTAAAGCCGAAATAGAAATATTTAAAAAACCACAGGATCATTTCAAACCCCAAAAATCACTGAATGCAGAGCAAAATTCTTTTTATCGCGACGAACAAAGTCAGACTCGGAGAGGAATAATAGAAGGGAGTGTTATTTATTTTCCATCGGAATCGGCAGATGTAAACTAATCACATGCTTCGACCACGCGCGTCATTGTCTAACATAGAAAAATTAAATAGCTGAATCTCACACTGAGCTTCGAGGTTTTAGCAAGGAATCTCAATGACCCGTCTCTATATTGAATTGTTTGTTTTGCAGTCACCAAGCTGAGGGAACACTGGGACGAGGCAAACTCAAAGGTGATGCAAAGAAAAACTCAATTGGACGCCATGCTCGGCGATAGTCAACGATACGAAGCTAAAAGAAACGAGGTGGAAGTCTGGTTGGCACGAATGGAAACTCGACTCGAGAGGATGCGTGCTGTCGGCCACACAGCTGACGTCCTGGAGGCTCAGCTACGGGAGCAAAAGGTAAGTCTAGTTGCGGCTTCTACGTATTATCGCCACAGTATCTTTAATGCAAATCGACTTTACTAGACATAACGAGAAATATATGGTACGGAAATTCCGGAATTAAGGAAACTTTCGCAGCAGTACACCTGACCTAACCTAAATTCCAAGTGTCTACCTGGCCGGAATCTTCCCAACTTTTCCTCGTTTATTCCCTGCTATTACCTCTTTGCCCAATGCAAGAAGCTTGTTCTCGTCTCTGAGTTCCGCGAAAGTACAGCGGTAACTGTTTTGAATTCATAAAGAAGAAAGGAAAGCTTATCCTTTATTTTTAAAAGTAGATACTTAAGCGTTACTTCAAAGAATTATTATACGAACCTAACCTAATGCGATTTTCATAATACAGAGCTAGAGATACCTTGATATATCGCACGTAACCATTAGATTTTTCAGATGACAATGATCGAGGAAAAAATAAATTTTCCAAAGGCTGATGGGTTCACAAGATGGAATATTTATCAATTTACTTAAGCAGAAACTTTCCTATCATTTACGTCTATACTAGCCTATCAGTCCAATTCCATTTGCCACATTTCAAAGAATCGAAAGTCGACCCCATGTTTATGAAAGTTTAATGTAATTTTTTACATTTTATTTCAGTCCTTCCACGCCGAGTTACATCAGTACAAGCATCAGATAGAACTATTCAATCAACTCACGCAGAAGCTCATAGCTGTTTACCAGCAGGACGATACTACGAGAGTCAAGAAAATGACTGAAACAATCAATCAGAGATACAACAATCTAAACACAAGGTATATTATCTCTATACTTTTCTATAAAATCCTTCGATCTTTTTTATAATCAATACAGTACACGAACTTACTCGCAATCCGTATTCATCCATTGAAACGAATTGAATTTCATTTCCTATGGACTCACGTGACTGATCAACCTTAGAATTGTTATCGTAACAAGCAATACTCTCTCGCAGTATCATCAATCGAGGGAAACTACTGCACTCGGCAATGAACTCCCTCCATAACTTCGACCGGTCTCTGGACAAGTTCCTGGCTTGGTTGAGCGAAGCTGAGTCTTCAATGGAGGGATTGGAAGCGGAAGCCGATCGACTAGGTGGACGACGGGACCAAGGTGCACTCAGACGGCCACAACATCAGCTTAAGGTAAGATACACCAGATACGTACTTGCTGTAGCTATAGAGTATTATTGCCTCTCATATTGACCAATGACAAATAGGAGAATTTTCTATTGAGGCAACCTGGAAAATTGACCTATTCCTATACGTGTAAAAAGAACGAGACAGAAAAACGTATATACGCTCGAAGTCAAACATATCTCACACGTAACTGCTATAGCAAACTTGAACACTGTCATGTCCAATTGAAAGGTTAATATTTGAAAATGCCTCAAAGCTTAGTATAGCAACGTGGAATTCTATTTATACCATTACGTCATCCTTGTATAAATTAGTGTAAATTTATAATGTCAAATTATTGAACCTGACGTGTATCTGGGACAAGGTAGAAGTACAGATCATTGATCCATGCGAATCAAGGAATTAACAATGGAGAGCGTACAATGCCTTGATATTGGACTTTGCTTTTGTTCTATTAACCATAATTAATTGCAATTCGAAATTGAAAGAGCCACTATCTCTATATACACTCTATCCGGCTTAAACTGCAACAGTGATATACTATATGTCACTGTGTACTAATTACTTACTTTATATAATAGCACACTATCGGAATACAAGGAATGCATTATTATTCAGGTGTCGATAGCTAGACGGTTACAGTCACACGTAGATGAAAATTGATACGATGCCCTCGAATCGGTTGATCGAGATTTATAATATTGAAATATTATTGTGAATTTTATGGAACTCTATTTAAAAATTTTCCGATAAAAAAATCGCTTTCTCGAAACTCTGTGCTGTAAATATGAATTCACGCATTTTATTATCTTGCAACCGTTAAATTATCTTGTTTTTATGAAATCACTTCGTTATGAGCCGTGCTCCTTGGCTCGTGCCAGTTAAATGAACCTTACATAGCTTATTCAACTATAGTGCAAGGTCGCGTTTACATATACTATACTTTCTCTGATACATCGTTGAAATTAATCCAACGCGATGGGCAGTATCACCCGTTATACATAGCCATGACGTTTGACAGAGAAATTAGGTTATAATTTTGTTTATTACGTTTAAATAACGTAACGAGGCATTTGCTCCTATCAAAATGCATCGACCGGATAATCCCACAGGTTGATTTATTGGATGCGTTTATTTATCTAAGATAATTCGGCAGAATAGCCAAATCTGTGTTCGGCGTATCTCCAATTTAAATACGTCGTTGTCCCTTTAATTAGGTAAACAGTCGTAATTCACGTTTATCCCGTTATACGTCACAACCGATGACAATCAGTCACTTCGATAACTCATTGGAATTATCGTCAAGCGTATTTTGCGTTAAATAAAAATTTTTTTAATCAAAAACTTCATGTGGTGCATCGACAGATAAATTAACAAATCGCCCGATTTATCGTTACCTCCAATTGATAGACGTTATCGACATTTATTATTATTATATTTCTTAACATATTTCACTATCCAAGAACGTCAGTGACCGTCAGCTGATTTCATGTTGAAGAGACGTCCAATCGTTGTTCGATATATTTTCCCACGATGCATCAGTATTTACATATGTTTCTGCCATTTATTTTCCATTGCGTTTCAATCAAGCCAGGTCGACTTCTTGTCTAACCCAGCAATTCTCCAAAGTCCGAAATAGCAATACTTCCTTTACCCGGTAAATGACTTATCGACCGACGTCGCATTCGGAACATAATTCACGCCAATAATGGTCCAGAGGTCTCCCACCTTTCGAAATTACATCTCACGGAATTCCTGGCGTCGGCCATTCGGCGCGTAAACGATGCGATTCGTCATCCCTTTGGGGGATGAGGTGATATCCAAGTTCAGAAATTTTCCTTTACTCTTTTACAAATTATATGTATACATATATATGTTATAACATACCTGCCAGTGTTGGAAAAATTAATGATCCTCCGTGAGCTACTAACGATTGAAGGTAAAAGATACCCATTCAAAATACCTACATGGGTTCTGGAGATACGATTATCCTGCGAGTATAAAGAGGATACCCTTTTTTTCTTTTGTGGAAGAACTGATCATTCGTATTAATAATTTCCTGCTATTACCGTCTCTAACCTTATGAAAATTAATGAAAATTTCATTTTTCCTGTTTATTATAATGGCAATATTCACTCGCTGCAATCTGTTGTTTTATCATAAATGGTATTTGGTTAGTAGGAGGCATAACTACACCGTGAATTCTTCCTTGTTTTGTATACTTTGATGTCTGACCACCTCTGTCATGTTTTACTTGGGTTATGTTAACAAGCGCCGCTCCTTTGCTTGCCAAAGCGCGAGAACTGCCTAACGAGGCCAGCCTATCGACCATTTTCTCTTCGCGGTTCGTTTACGTCCTGGTAAAGTATATCTCGTCAACGTCCATTCTATTTTTATCACGTGATCGATAAGCCATCGATGATATAATCGCGACAGAAAAAAAAGTATCCCTTTATAGTCATCGTAAACGCACTGTAGAATATTCTAACCACAATTCACCATTAAGCTTACGAATAAAGCAGACACGTATACCTACCGTAGCTGAGGAGCCAAGCGAAGTTCTTGAAGATCATTCGCAAAGCGTTAGATGCGTTTTTGAACGATTAAGTCATGCAAAGACAATCGTCGGAATATGCATATAACCCGTGTCGAACGATTAACGCGAATCGTAGGCTGTCCGAAGTCACATTAAAATCTGACCTGAAAGACATAAAAATTTGACGCCTGACAGTGATGTCGGATCCACTTCATTTTTCCTTGTCCTATTATTCCATCCAACTAGGTGGATGTACGAGATTGGATTTTCGTACGTTCGTTTTCTAGCGATGGGATTTTTTTTATTTCAACCCTTTTTTTTTGTTTTTTTTTTTTCCTTCTCACTCTTTTGGATTACTGCACGCCAGTGCTACGTCGGTTCGCCTCACGTGTCCCGGCACTCGAGCCATTAATCTTCAACCACTCTAACGCGACGTACGACTCCAGAGAACTGGTCCATGAAATCCTGACTCTGTATATATGTATAAAATTGTGTTATTTCGAACTTCCATCTCAATAGGTATAGTATGCGATTACGTTAACGTTCACGTTACTCGTGCGTGCTCCTCCCTAGCTGAACATCGACTATTACGTTAGTGGCAGTAGTCACTTCGTTTATGTAGCCAATTTTTTTTATCACTCTGTAAATGTTGACCCTCGAACAAACTGATTTGTTACTCGCGTGCACGAACTAGAGCGATAGTCTTATTTGATGACAAGAGGGATCCCATTACGATTACATGTTCCACGTGATTTTTTTCGTTGGAATAGTCCCTATAACCCTAAATAATTCATGGTCAATCTTTTCGATTGCAGAATAACGCTTATCGGCTCGTTCACTTCAGTGATAAGATATTGGGTCATTTGTCAAGTATAACCAATTCGAGATTAGAAACCCTCTAAATAATCGAGCGATACAAGTTAATTGATGGTAGGAATCAATGAAAAAAAAAGTGAAGTATCCTGCATAGATTATTGTGAAATTTTTCTATTGATAACAGCCATGCGATAGGGATGATTAGGTAGGTAAATAAATTTTGTATCGATACGAGGAAAATAAAATACGATTTTCAAGCTGACAGGATTTTGAAACAGGTTTAAAAATAAAAATTGTTTCGAAAGTTACACGCGGTGGCGGCTTGGCCACGTGACACGTTGCATCGGTTCTTCTCGTAGGACACAAAGATAAGAGACTCGCGGACACCAGCTGCATTTCAAAACCCGTTGACTTCTCTTCCGGAATAGTAAGTAGGATGGAGTCACGGGAGGATGAGCGTTCTCATCCTACTGGTTGTATCGAGCTGCCTCTACATTGCGAAATCAAAAGGGTAACGAAACGCGACGAAGAACAAGGACCGCGCGCGAGAGAGTAGCATAACCAGAGAAAGATAAAGATATATGGTGAAAGACACATATTGGGGTTGGAACCCACGGTATAGTGACAGTCGCCTGAGGAAGGCGAAATAGGGGTTTGAAAACCAAAGGGCGACCACTGTTAGCCATTTTCCCTTTCTTGCCTCGTCGCCGCCAAACTTTACCGAAGGATCAATAGTAAGACTCCTCCGTTGCCAAAGTACTTGCATCTGTTGCTTTCGACCCTTATGAATTCTACATTATTACAAGGGCTCGCACTGCCTATAAAAGTTTATATTCGAATTAATCCTTAAAGTCTAGAAAACAGTACTGAAAGGTATCATTCGAATCGTACGAATCGAATTTCAACGGGCACACCCTTTCTCGATAGAGGGAACTACCTCGGTCAAAGGAACTCCATACCCGCCCTTTGCAAATATCGCGTAATCATCCTCGACTGCCTTGGCTCGGCAATTCCAACTGGGAACTTCAGGGCTGAAACTGCTTCTGACGCTCTAGTAGGTTGCTGCTAGTAAAAGGTGCCTTAACGAGGTGAATAGTCGGAATCATTGTTCGCCTGCCCGTCTGGAATCACGCAGCCCTAATAATTTTGGGGGTAGCATGTGACCGCCCTCTTTCCTGACACAATTAATAAACGTCAACCTGTTCTCACGTGGGGGATTAGTACTACTCTGCTAATCTCAACTTATGTAGCTACACGTGTAATTTACGTGTTTCTGTGTAATATTATTATTATTTTGACATACCTACGCAATTGCTTTGAAAATTTTATTTGCCGTTTGAAGTAATTTGGTGGATTTTGAGGGATGTTTTTTTTTTGTCACGTCGAATTAGTATAATGTTTTCACATGTACATCCCTTGTATCATGGGGGCATATACAAGGGAGGTTATAAATTTTTTACATAGGGACATAAAGTTATGAAGAATGGGGGTGAAATTTTCCACTCGGCAACATTCCTGCGTATACAAACTGCGAACCGAGGATAGAAGGTGCGCTGTTCACGGTGTCTTTGTTTTAGGTGGTTAAATTGAAAATGGGCAGGGCTGCTTACATGCGCATTTTCTGCCATGCTTAACACGGGATATTTGATCCGCT